CCTGCGGACTGAAAGGTCCCAGGTTTGATTCCAGTCAAGGGCATGTACCTTGGTTGCAGGCACATCCCCAATAGGAGGTGTGCAGGAGGCAGCTGATCGATGTTTCTCTCCCATCGATGTTTCTAACTCTCTATCCCTCTCCCTTCCTCTCTGTAAAAAAATCAATAAAATATATATATATTTTTAAAAAGATGCTAAGTCAATAGCTTGCTTAACACCCTCTCGCTCTTTTCCCTCAGAGCAGTGATGGGAGGCACTTCACTTACTGTGAACTCAGAGAATGCTTGTCAGGTGTGGGTTCAATATGCTAAGAAAGTAATTTTTATTCTTGGGTTTGGAAAATAACTGAACCCCTTTTGGCAGGTCTTGGGTGTTTTCAGATATGCCAGGGATAGAATGTCTAGATTCTTACTTTCTGGGCTGGCTCTCAGTTACATAAAGTTAAAATGCTGTTGTAGTGCTTAACTGCATAGAGAAAGGACTGGACAGATAGACACCAAGCTAAAAAGGGAGACATCTGGGGAAAGGGTTTGGGGGGCGGGAAGAGCATGGAAAAGAGAATAGTTGTGTTTTCATGTCTCTATATTTTTTAATTTTTTTAATATGTGTTTATTGATTTTTAGAGAGAGAGGAAGGGAGAAGGATAGAGAGATAGGACCATCGATGAGAGAAACATCATCAATCAGGAGAGGAAGGGAGAAGGATAGAGAGATAGGAACATCGATGAGAGAAACATCATCAATCGGGTGCCTCCTGCATGCCCCCTCCTGGGGATCGAGCCCACACCCCGGGCATGTGCCCTGACCAGGAATCGAAGGTGACCTCTCGAGTCACACCAGCTGGGCCATGCCTATTTTCTTTACATCATTGTATAATAAGAAATTAAAACCAATTTTATTCTAGTCACAAGCATGTTTTCTGTTATTGCTCAAACAGAAATAACCCAAATCCTTATGTTCACTTGTAGAGTTTATCATACCCTGCCTTTTCAAAGCGCTTTTCAATAGAAAACTTCTTGCAAGTGTATGTTAATTTCACCAATAACCTGCCTGCTTGCTGGTTTATAAAGACACAGTCCTTCCTGGGACCCTGAGTCCCATGGCCCAGGTCTAGGCACACCTGTTCCCAGTGCTGCGAGGTTAGGAATAGTGCTTGGTGAATAGGGAGGCCATAAAGGCGTTTTCTTCTGGATGAGGTTGGGAAGGATGAAGCACCCATACTCACTAGAGAGAGCCCCTCTAGAATGAGAAATGCCCGTGTCCCCACACATAGCCTCGTCCTGGTCAGCCCCGCCCAGTACCTTCCTGCCAGAATGCTCATTCCACTTGCCGATGTACCAGATGACAGTGCTTGGTGAATAGGGAGGCCATAAAGGCGTTTTCTTCTGGCTGAGGTTGGGAAGGATGAAGCACCCACAAGCACTAGAGAGAGCCCCTCTAGAATGAGAAATGCCCGTGTCCTCGTCCTGGTCAGCCCCGCCCAAAACCTTCCTGCCAGAATGCTCATTCCACTTGCCGATGCTCCAGACGACGCCTCTGCTGCCTTCCCCTCTGAACCGGCTAACGTCCAAATTTAACTCCGGGTCCTTGACTACGGTTCAGTTTAGACCAAAAACAAACAAACAAACAAAAGCCACTTAAAAGGGAATTCATCTTGATTTCACTTTTCTCTTGTTTTATTTGCTAAACTAAATTGTTCATTCTTCGGTGGCTAGGGACAGATATTTCCCTGTGTTTTGTTGAGTATTAGTAAACATTGAACAGAGCTTGACCTTCTTCCAGCTCAGAGAATTAGCTTGTTAACATTGGATACTGGCTATGCCACAAAGTAAACTAAAATATTTCCGATCATTTCTGAAAACGAAGCAAGGCCCAAAGAAAGAAATACTCTAAATTCAGAATGAGGTTGTCCGAAGATAACTAGCATTTTATTAATTCTTTATGACCTTTTTATCACACGGTTAGAGTCAGCTACTACAAAGACATAGAAATAGATTTTCTGGTTCACACGCAGCATGTGGGTGAAAGCAGAGGGGTACAAACGCCACATTCACTCACTGTTACACCGCAGTGGGGCAGGCACTAGGCAGGGCGCTGGATCTGGACCCATTTTATTTCTGTTTCCTATGACTGGGGGTTACTTTGGATTGCATTTTGCTGGTGGGTCTATAGTTTCCCTTCAAGTTTATGAAAATTTCAATCACAAAAAAAAACAAAAAACTGTGGTTCCAGTATAGCTCTGAAATATACTTGTGTACCATGGTGAATCTCAGACAAAATGTGAGTCCAAGGAAATTAGCCTGCATAGTTAGAGTCGCTGTTATAGTAGATTTTCTGGTTCACACGCAGCATGTGGGTGAAAGCAGGGGTACAAACGCCACATTCACTCACTGTTACACCACAGTGGGGCAGGCACTAGGCAGGGCGCTGGATCTGGGCCCGTTTTATTTCTGTTTCCTATGACGGGGGGTTACTTTGGATTATATTTTGCTGGTGGGTCTATAGTTTCTCTTCAAGTTTATGAAAATTTCAATCACTGAAAAAAAAAAATACTGTGGTTCCAGTATAGCTCTGAAATATACTTATGTACCATGGTGAATCTCGGACAAAATGTGAGTCCAAGGAAATGAGCCTGCATAATTAGAGTCGCTGTTATAATTAAACATTCATTTCTGTGTAGTTCATTTTAACAGTAACCATAACCATTATACATGTGTCAGGCAAATGTGAGCATTTGCCGCAATTATAGCTGATAACCACAACCTTTTGTGATAGGTATTAGTATCCCAGCTTACAGCCAAGAGACATAGCTGATAGTCAAACCCAGGTTTATCTGGTTCCCAAGTCTCGGCCCTCATAATGGCCATTCAGACAATGGCACAGAATTTGGTAAAACTTCAGTTGCAAGCCGAAACCGTTTTGGCTCAGTGGATAGAGCGTTGGCCTGCAGACTGAAAGGTCCCAGGTTCGTGTCAGGTAAATGCGGGCATTTGCTGCAATTATAGCTGATAACCACAACCTTTTGTGATAGGTATTATTATCCCAGCTTACAGCCAAGAGACATAGCTGATAGTCAAACCCAGGTTTATCTGGTTCCCAAGTCTCGGCCATTCAGACAATGGCACAGAATTTGGTAAAACTTCAGTTGCAAACTATAAAATTCCATGATACACTTGACCAGGCATCAAAATGTTTGGTTTCAGAAAATTAACATGTAGGGAAAAAAACAACTGTGGTACATCTACACAATGGAATACTACGCTGCTGTAAAAAAGAAGGAATTCTTACCATTTGCAACAGCATGGATGGGACTGGAGAGCATTATGCTAAACGAAATAAGCCAGTCAGAGAAAGATAAATGTCACATGATTTCACTCATTTGTGGAATATAATGAACATCATAAACTGATGAACAAAAATAGAACCAGAATCATAGAAGCATCAAACAGACTAAGGACTTGAAGGCATGCATATAAGCATAACTAATGGACACAGACAGTAGGGGGGTGAGGGCATGTGCTGGGGGCTGGGGGCGGCCAGGGAGAGGCCAATGGGGGGGAAAGGAGACTTGTATAATACTTTAAACAATAAAGAATTTAAAATAAATAAATGTTTGGTTTCCTTTTTAACCTCATTAACATAGTACAATATGGTAATAAGAGGATGGGTGTGTCTTTTACATCAAGGTAATAACAATTTCTTTTTTCTTCAGCCACCAGCTAAATACCTCCTGCCCGAGGTGACGGTGCTCGACTATGGAAAGAAATGTGTGGTCATTGATTTAGATGAGACGTTGGTGCACAGCTCATTCAAGGTGAGTCAGCGTAAAGACCGTCCGCGATCTCTGTGCTTTGGTTGCCATCGGGTGGAAACATATGGTGGTTAGTGTGTGGCTTCATGTTCATGAAGAAATCCCAATAACAGTTGCTTATTAACTCAGGTGAACAGTAACTCAGGGAGTTGAATATTAACATCTTGGGTTTGGCAGGGGGATGCTGGGCTGCCAGGAGCCCTGAGACCCATTCCTAGGTATGAGATGGGACTTTGCAGCACTTACACCTCAGAAGTGCTTCTCAGGAGGCACATGGCCGGCGGTGCACTGGTGCCCCGGGACACCGCGGTGTATTTGTCAGGGTAACCAGAGGGCCGGCCGTATGTGTTACCGGGAGGGGCGGGGGGGCACGGTCTGAGCAACCTGCTCTCCTGGAAGTTTTCCCAGACCCGTGTTTGAAAGATGTCCAGCACCAAAGATGACTTCCAGAGCGACGGCATCTGAACAGATTCTGCCGTTTATCTTGACCATTTTCATCACAGGAGGCTGCTAGGGATTTGAGAAGCTTCGCAGCTAAAGGAGTATCCACCTGCTAAATGGCTTTTCCCCTGAAGGGTTCGGGGCTTCTGTGAGCATCAGATAGTCTACAATTTTTAAAATATATATTTTTTTTATTGATTTCAGAGAGGGAGAGAGAGATAGAAACATCAAATGATGAGAAAGAGTCACTAATCTGCTGCCTCCTGCACACTCCACGTTGGGGCTCGAGCCTGCAACCCAGGCATGTGCCCTGACCGGGAACTGAACCGTGACCTCCTGGTTCAAAGGCCGATGCTCCACCACTGAGCCACACTGGCCTGGCAGGTAGTCTACATCTTATCACCTCCCTCACTCCCCAGGTCCCCGTCAGAATAAGAGCAAAACTTAATTACAAATTACCAGAGGACCTCCATGCGGGAGCAGCTGTAATTACACTATTGAGAAATGAGCTCATTAACCATTTTTTGAAAAAAGGAATAAATTATTTCAAAGAGGCCAATGATGAAAAGGTTTGGAAATAGGGGATTGGTGTGCTGGAGGGGGAAAGCGGTGTTTAGGGTCCTGGTCCTGTGTGCCTCGGGGTATCTCTGGCATCGCTGGCCAGTTAGACCACGTTCCTCTATGTAGCGCATCCCGAGACGCCCCTACTTCACATGGAGGCCCCTTCCAAGATGGGGCATGTGTCTCACGTAACCAGGCGTCCCTTGATGGTGTGTGGGAAGCGGAGGAGCCATCACTCTGCCTGCAGGCCTTCATGCCAACATCTTTTTCCTTCGCCTGCTCTCACTAAACACAGGCCTTCCTGGACAGGTCAGTGCCAGGTGCCTACCTTTGAGTCCTTTGGGAGAGAGGAGGAGAGGCCACACTTGCCTTTAGCAGTGACACAGGGCCGTCTGGACGCTAAGGCAGGTGGTACCACCCACCACCTTGAGGGCCCTCCCAGGACTGGGCCAGGGGCTGCAGTGGCCTGCGGCCCAGCTCAGCCCTGAAAGGCACTGGAACCCTGTGTCCCCTCCCCCCACGAGCAAGTTGCTCAGAACTTTTTCAAGTCCCTCTGGAGGAAGGGAAGCCCTTTAGGGCAGGGGTCAGTCGCCATCACATCATAGACAGCTGCCCCCCAGCAGCTCTGGGAGGGTAGGCAACGCTGGCCAGACCGCCCAAGGTTGCTGAGGGCTCCTGGCTCCGCAGGCGGACTCGCAGCCCTTGGTGTCTCCAGGGCCCACTCCCAGGGCATTCATAGGCCCCTGAACGTGCACAGCATCTCCTCATTTCTTCTTGCCTGGCCTGCCTGCATTGGCAAGCAGAATAGTCTTGATTGTATGGGTTTTTTTAACGTTCTGGGCATTTCAGAGCCCTTTGAGAATTCAAAGGCTGTGAGCCTCTCTCCTTGAACTTGTACAGCACATACGCTTGTGCACCCCGGCCTTGGCGCCCATGGCCTCCTCCACACCATCACGTGACGGGATCAAGGGCAGGGGCCTTCTCTGAGCCGGGGATGTTTTTGTTCTTTCAATATACTCGGTGGAATATGATTTCACAATCTAATGCCTCGTGAGAGCTGCTTCCCTCGGCCCCATTTTGCTTTTTAGGATGATTCCCTATTTTAGTCGCGAAATTATTTCAGTTGTGAACTCGTCCTTGGCCTCCCAGCCATAGGAGTGAATAAACTGTTATCTCAAGCCTCAGGTGCTCTACAGCGTGCTTAGCGATGTGCTTAGTGATGGCTGTATTTTCTGCGTTTCTTCCATTTACACAGCAAAGGAGAATGTGTACAGTGATGGGCTTCAAGGCAGACCCCAGGTCAGAGTCTGACCAGAGAATCTGTACCCAAACCCCTGCCCAGGGGCCACCCCGCACCTTCTCCTTCCCTCCCTGACTCTCCTGCTCATCCCAAGGGGTTGCACCCTGATGATTCTCCTGGGCCTGTTCATTGGAGTCGTTTTCTACTTGATTTGTGGAGGTCCGTTTAGAATTCTTTGTGAGTCCGTCGTTGGGAGCGTAGCGGCTGCTGTAGAATCATAGTTGACTGTTAAATGGCATTAATATGGCCTGATGATTCTCCTGGGCCTGTTCATTGGAGTCGTTTCTACCTGATTTGTGGAGTTCCGTTTAGAATTCTTTGTGAGTCCGTCGTTGGGAACGTAGCGGCTGCTGAAGAATCATAGTTGACTGTTAGATGGCATTAATATGAGCAGCCTTATCTGAAATATCCCGCAGTTTGTGAGTGTGACTTAGGCCAGAGCCACAAGGGTGGCCTGAAATCCCTGGTGCTCAGGACTGGATGGAGCCATGGACACGCGTCACAGTAGCTGTGGAAGAGAGGAGGAATGGGGTCCAGAGAGAGCCTGCCCCAGCTCGTGCTGTGTGGCCTCTAACTCCACCCCCACAAGTCCTTGGCCCTGCTTTGTGTCCATGGACTGAGCATCTCCTGCCCGTCATTGGGCAGCTGGCACTCGTGGGCCCAGTGTTAATTATTGCCCCCAAAGTAGCACTGTCCTCTGGGACCATTGGGCTCTCATCGCCTCGCCCTGGTGGCCAATGGTGGTTCCGTGTTATCTGGGCTTTAGACCAGAGCTGAGCTCCTGAGCCCCATTCCCCAGCCAGGCTGCCCCCACCGCCCCCTTAGTGGTTGAGGCAAAGGCAGGTGATGAAGAAGTTGGACTGAGATGCTGAAAATGTAACGATATTCTGAAAAAATAATAATATGCTCTCCTGCTTGTGCTTGTTTTAAGGAACCCAGGCGCTCTCCAACATCCTTCTGAACTGTTTTTCCCAATAGTAAACACATTGGTCCAGGCAAGCGCTTTTCTCGCTAAAATTTTCCATTTTATCTCACCCTTCGAGACGTATTAACGAGGGTTTCTTTTCTCTCTAGCCTATTAGTAACGCTGATTTTATTGTTCCGGTTGAAATCGATGGAACGATACATCAGGTAAGAAATCAGAGCCAAAATCTGAGTTTCGATGAGCATGTTTTCGTAATTACATTTCTTCTGGACTTTAACTTCCCATTTCAGTAGAAATCTTATTACTGAATCAAAAGGAAGCAAGCTTTGTAAAGTAAATACAACGGTATCCTGCTCTTTTTCTTTTCACTCTTAAATTTGTTGTATCCTGAGTTTGTAAGGGAAATTATGAATATCAGATGCGGTTGCAAGTTCAAATCGTTCTTTGATTTGATGCAGGCGTTTAGAGGTTTCCGTGCCCTCCACTGGTCTGGCTGGATGGTCTAATTAACTTCCTCGTGTAATTGCTTTCGGCTACTCTCCTAGCAGGCGACAGGAAAAGGCCGCACAGCAGCCACTTACGGTGGATTCTCAGGAAAAGGGGTCCGTTTCCCATGCCGGCCACTCCAGCCTGATCTTGTCGCTCCTGCACCATGTTCTCCAGGGAATCTTTAGAGAAAGGGAGAAGGGTGTGAGTTTGGGATCCGCGGGTGGCGTTGCATAGAGAGCCTAGTCCGTTGGCTTGCATCTTGGTCCTGATTTTTCCTCCTTATCTGCATGAAGCTCCCCCGGGAATAACTTCATTTATGAACATATTGGAAACATGGCAGGAAAAGTAGCTTTGAAGGCCGCAGGGCCTTTGTGGCGGTTCCCACAGGGGCGATCTGACCATCTATCTTCCTGTCCGCGCCGCGGTCTTGAAGTGGGAATCTCTGGCCTGATAGTTCACATCCCAGGAAGGGAACTCTCTCTCCCGGTGCTTGACCCATAACAGGATGTGTCTCCTTAGCAATGCCCGTAGCCTCTGGTCCTTGAGTGGAGGGTGTCAGAACTGCCAAGGCCCTAGAAATCAGCCGGTCCGGCCACCTCATGTCCAGAAGGGGAAACCGAGACGCAGCCAGAGAATGTGTTGTCTCAAGGGCAAGACAACATAAAGAATTCAAATGAGACTCTTCCGCTGACACTTCAGTCCCTTTCCTGCCTGCCAGGAGGCCCTGCCAGGAAGCCGCGCCTGGAGAAGGCAGCTTTGTCCCTAGCATCTCCACACTTCATGCTTTTAAAAGCCATCAGGGGAGCCAAAACGGCAGGCCCTTGGGCATTTAACATTTGCAAAAGCATCCCCTGAATTAACTTGAGCGTCTGAGAAGCAGTTAAGGCTTCTGCACTTATTATCTTGGCTCATGTTACAAAGTAATGAGCCGAAGGCGAGGCTGCCCACTGGCATGGCAAGAATGAGGAGAGACATTAATACCTCGTGACTGTGAACGTGACCCTCGGGGCCTGACCTGCTGTGGCCAGACCAGCTCCCCCAGCCTCCCTCCAGACTGTTCTATGAGACCCCAGGGCACGGGGCGGGGATCAAACACTTTCTGTCCTGAGGGAATGAAGCCACAGGCGCCAGGAGGAGGACCAAAGCCCTGGCGAGGCCGTGGCCTCGTTCAAGTAATCCAGGATAGGCTGTGCAGGTCCCGATGGGCCTATTCTCGGTTACTTGCACGGGGACGCGGGCCTGGACGCCGGCATCCGGGCCCCGGACCCTCCTCTCTGCCAGAGGCGCCAACACCAGAGTTCCCAAAGCAGCCTCCTGCCCTTTGCTGGCAGCGAAGCTTGCTTTCCAAGCAGCATTCCCAGGGAGACTGAGGACCCCGGGCCACGCCATTCCCTGCACCAAGAGGCTCCTGGGCAAAGAGAGCGCCTGGAGCTGCTGCAGCCGCTGGCCCCGCCCTCAGCCCCCACCCGGCCTCCCAGCTCCGCAGACCCCTGGCCCCTCACTGCACCCTTGGCCACAGGCCCATGCTCGCTTTACTCTTTCAGTCGGCCACGAGTTTCCCACCAAGTCCTGGCTCTATAGAATTCCTGTGTGCCCCAGCCACGGTGGCTCAGTGGTTGAGTGTCAACCTATGAACCAGGAGGTCATGGTTCAGTTCCCAGCCGGGGGATATTCCCGGTTTGCAGGCTCCATCCCAGTAGGAGGCGTGCAGGAGGCGGATGATCAATGATTCTCTCTCGTCATTGATGTTTCTATCTCCCTCTCCCTCTCCCTTCCTCTCTGAAAGCAATAAAAATATTTAAAAAAAAAAAATAAGAAAGAATTCCTGTGTGGTACAGAACCCCCGTCTCCCCTCTGTTCCTCCTCTTGTAGGATGTCCAACCTGCTCCATCTGCCGAAATTCAGGGCCTCACATACTCGCTCCCACCTGTCTCTCACACTTCGTCTTGGGCCACTTCTCCTCTCCCACATCTCCCTTCTCCGACGGTTGTCGCTGGAGGGCTGGTCACACAGGGCACGGGCCATTCTCTGACACCCCACGTATTTCCAGTCCAGGTCTCATGCTTATTACTGTTTCCTCTGCTGGGAAGCTCGCTTTTCCTTATTGGCCTGGTGAACTCCTATTCATCCCTCAAGGCCCAGGCTAAACATTACCTTCTGTGCTTCCCTCCCCTCCCGAGGGCAGTGGATTGTCCTTAATGTACGCCTCTGCTGTAACTGCTGTGCGTATTTATTTTGGTCTGTGTTGTGTGCGTGTCTGCTCTAGACTGTGCGCCCTGTAAGGGCCAGGCCTGGGCGTTACTCATCTTTGTAACTGCTTCAGGCTGAGCACGGAGCCGAGGCTCTGTGAACACAAACTGAATTGAATTTTAACAAGTCTGATTTATTTTAGGGACGTGGCTAATCTCGCTTGGAATTTGTTCAGGTTTTAATTAGTTCTCCCCTCCTCCTACCTCCTCTATCTTTCTCACCAGCGCTGCCTTCCCGACCATCTCCGTGTCCTCGGATTTGTTCAGTCAGGAGCACGGGGCCCCGCCCCTCTAGAAAACGCTTTGCGCTTTGCCCCATCTGCGGGGCGGCCTCTCCTGATGGCTCCTGTCTGGGGCCTGGGATTCGTCTGCTTCACATCCCCCGAACCATTCATTGCTGTTCCAGGCCCAAGCGCAGGGCCTTTGTGGTGTCCACGGTGCCGTCCCAAGCCCACGAGGGAGGTGTTCCCATCGGAGGACCTGCTGGGCCAGGCCTGGACCTCCAAGGGATGCCCCTCACCATGGCCTGGGTCCACACACAGCCTCGCCCAGAGCGTGTGCCCAGAAACACAGTGAAATGAATGACTTGTTTCTCACAAACAGGGCACGGCCCTTCCATTCCCTGGGTCTGAAAATCCCAGGCCCTGGGGACCCTGCTCAGCCTTCCTTTGTGGTTTGGGGCGGGGGAGGGGCGTTGACACCGGACTCAGACCCAGAGCCCAATCTGAGTGTGTGTCTGGCGTGAAGTGCCACACCAGAGTACGAGCCCCTCATAAAATCTGGGTCTTCTTCCGGCTCATAGACCCCGCGGGCAGGAGGCGGGGTCATGGGTCATTTTAGGAACCCTCCCTGCACTGGCGGTTGGACGCGGGCCATCCCCAGTGCCTGCTCTCACGCCGCTCGCTGCTTCCTGCCGTTGCAGGTGTACGTGCTGAAGCGGCCGCACGTGGACGAGTTCCTCCAGAGGATGGGCCAGCTCTTTGAGTGCGTTCTCTTCACTGCCAGCCTGGCCAAGGTGCGTCCTGCCCCAGCCCTGAGCTCCCAGCCCCTCCACCCCCACCCTGTCTATCAAACAGCCCTTTGGTAAGGTGGGGGAAGCTGTTTCTATGGTGACACATTCCCACCCCAGATGGGATGGATGCAGGCCCTGTGCGTGCACAGTGCCAGCCTGAAAGGCTTCTGGGTTACCATGGTGACAGGGAGCACTCAGAACAAACGCTCCGTGAAGTGGCTGCGCGCAGCCGCCTGCAGCTGGTTGTCCACAGAGCAGGAAATCACAAAGGTGTCCAGCGTCACCAAGAAGGGTGTCTGCATCTCACCTGTTCGCTGGCAACCATGTGCTAGGCAGTGGTTCTCCACCTTCTGGCCCTTTAAATACAGTTCCTCATGTTGTGACCCAACCATAAAATTATTTTCGTTGCTACTTCATAACTGTAATGTTGCTACTGTTATGAATCGTCATGTAAATATCTGATATGCAGGATGGTCTTAGGTGACCCCTGTGAAAGGGTCGTTTGACCGCCAAAGGGGTCGGGACCCACAGGTTGAGAACCGCTGTGCTAGAGGCTCAGGCCTCTGTGCCCTCGGGTAGTTGCACGGGTCTGGGGGAGAGGTCAGTGCCAGCCACTCACCCGCATGCCTGGGCCCAGTGAGGGTTCTGACTGCGCTAACGAGGATTGTGATCTCAGGCAAGTTACGTCGCTTCTCGCCTCAGATGGGATGGACCTATTCATTGGGGATCATTTCATCTGCCTCATGGGGTGGACCAAAGTAAGGCAGGTAAAGGGCTTGATTCATGTTCAGCAAGGACTCAGGGACACCTGCTGTGTTCCGTACGCTCCGCTGGGCACTGTCACGCGGCATGTGCTCCCGCAGGCTAAACATTACCTTCTGTGCTTCCCTCCCCTCCCGAGGGCAGTGGATTGTCCTTAATGTACGCCTCTGCTGTAACTGCTGTGCGTGTTTATTTTGGTCTGTTTTGTGTGCGTGTCTGCTCTAGACTGTGCGCCCTTTAAGGGCCAGGCCTGGGCGTTACTCATCTTTTAACTGCTTCAGGCTGAGCACGGAGCCAAGGCTCTGTGAACACAAACTGAATTGAATTTTAACAAGTCTGATTTATTTTAGGGACGTGGCTAATCTCGCTTGGAATTTGTTCAGGTTTTAATTAGTTCTCCCCTCCTCCTACCTCCTCTATCTTTCTCACCAGCGCTGCCTTCCCGACCATCTCCGTGTCCTCGGATTTGTTCAGTCAGGAGCACGGGGCCCCGCCCCTCTAGAAAACGCTTTGCGCTTTGCCCCATCTGCGGGGCGGCCTCTCCTGATGGCTCCTGTCTGGGGCCTGGGATTCGGCTGCTTCACATCCCCCGAACCATTCATTGCTGTTCCAGGCCCAAGCGCAGGGCCTTTGTGGTGTCCACGGTGCCGTCCCAAGCCCACGAGGGAGGTGTTCCCATCGGAGGACCTGCTGGGCCAGGCCTGGACCTCCAAGGGATGCCCCTCACCATGGCCTGGGTCCACACACAGCCTCGCCCAGAGCGTGTGCCCAGAAACACAGTGAAATGAATGACTTGTTTCTCACAAACAGGGCACGGCCCTTCCATTCCCTGGGTCTGAAAATCCCAGGCCCTGGGGACCCTGCTCAGCCTTCCTTTGTGGTTTGGGGCGGGGGAGGGGCGTTGACACCGGACTCAGACCCAGAGCCCAATCTGAGTGTGTGTCTGGCGTGAAGTGCCACACCAGAGTACGAGCCCCTCATAAAAATCTGGGTCTTCTTCCGGCTCATAGACCCCGCGGGCAGGAGGCGGGGTCATGGGTCATTTTAGGAATCCTCCCCGCACTGGCGGTTGGACGCGGGCCATCCCCAGTGCCTGCTCTCACGCCGCTCGCTGCTTCCTGCCGTTGCAGGTGTACGTGCTGAAGCGGCCGCACGTGGACGAGTTCCTCCAGAGGATGGGCCAGCTCTTTGAGTGCGTTCTCTTCACTGCCAGCCTGGCCAAGGTGCGTCCTGCCCCAGCCCTGAGCTCCCAGCCCCTCCACCCCCACCCTGTCTATCAAACAGCCCTTTGGTAAGGTGGGGGAAGCTGTTTCTATGGTGACACATTCCCACCCCAGATGGGATGGATGCAGGCCCTGTGTGTGCACAGTGCCAGCCTGAAAGGCTTCTGGGTTACCATGGTGACAGGGAGCACTCAGAACAAACGCTCCGTGAAGTGGCTGCGCGCAGCCGCCTGCAGCTGGTTGTCCACAGAGCAGGAAATCACAAAGGTGTCCAGCGTCACCAAGAAGGGTGTCTGCATCTCACCTGTTCGCTGGCAACCATGTGCTAGGCAGTGGTTCTCCACCTTCTGGCCCTTTAAATACAGTTCCTCATGTTGTGACCCAACCATAAAATTATTTTCGTTGCTACTTCATAACTGTAATGTTGCTACTGTTATGAATAGTAATGTAAATATCTGATATGCAGGATGGTCTTAGGCGACCCCTGTAAAAGGGTCATTCGACCCCCAAAGGGGTCGCGACCCACAGGTTGAGAACCGCTACTCTAGGGTGTCACAGCGGACTTGAGTGTAGTCTTCTGCTTCTCAGGGAAGGTCATCTGGAGTTCAGGCCCAGCTCCCTTTGTGAGCCAATGATCACAGGAAGGAAGCATTCATACAGCTGCATGGCTTTTGTTACCACCGTGGCTTATGAGCACGTAGCTGTTGGTTTGTGTTGCAAAGCAGACTATCCCAAGCCCTTTGGTTCCAGTGTGGCCCATTAACCTCGCATTGAGGCCTCTTTCCAGCTCCAATTGGTTGTTTCATAAATAATTGCCCAGTGCAAAATTAGGAAATTGAGTAAATTCCTCTTAGGAGGCAACTCCTACTAAATGAAATGGTCTCCAACGTAACTCCAGTAAAACTGCTTGTCCTGATAATTAAGAAATTATTTATTGTATTTGCCAATGTGTTGTCTGCAACTGCATTGCAGACACATTCATCACTTTTTATTTTTCGTTGGTTTCTAGAGAGGAAGGGAAAGAGGGAGAGAGATAGAAACATCAATGATGAGAGAGAATCCTGGATCAGCTGCCTCCTGCACGCCCCCTACTGGGGGTCAAGCCAGCAACCCGGGCATGTGCCCTGACCGGGAATCGAACTGTGACTTCCTGGTTCATAGGTTGATGCTCAACCACTTACACTGGCTGGGCAACACCATCCATTTCTTAGTGGCACCACCAGTGTCTCCATGGGCACCTCAGAGACCCTGAGTGGCCCCAAAGATGAGCTTTGTGGAGCCCAAGTTAGCCATGCGCCTGTCTCAGATCTGTTCCGAGGACTCACCTGCAGCTGCCTCCGGAGAGAGAGGGGGGGGGGGGGCTTTTCATTTATTCTAATTTTCTGTTTCTGGACAGTAAGACAACAGAAAATCATAAATCAGTATTTATCTTGACTAGAAATTGCCATTTTTTTCAAACTTCATTATGAAGCCATCCAGCACTGGAGGACAGCTAGAAACTCGAAGTAGATTTTCTTTTGGAAGCAGTTTCTACTTTACCCTACTATATCCACACAAGTGTGGGACTTTTTTTCTTAGGCCTCTTACCTATTCAATAAGCTTCTTAGTTTCTAGTTGTAAAATAATTAACAGAGAGTACCCTCTGAATACAACATTGCCAAGTACAGATGGAGCCACACAAAAGGAGAAGCCAAAGAAAATATGGCCCCTGCAGGTAGGAAAGAATATATATGTATAAAGTAATTCAGGAACAAAACCAAGTATAATAAATTACAATTCATCCTTGCCTTATGCAGCAGGGAATTTTAGAGAGTTATGCTAGAAGAAGCTGATAATTGTACAGTACAGCCTATACCTGTACAAAGAGAGTAGGGAAATAAATGCAAGTTCGATGTAGTTTCAGTTATTCTAAAATAACTCTAGTGATAATAGCTTCTTGCATCTCTATAGTGTTTCAGAGCTCTTAAAAGCTTTCCTGCATATCATTCTACTTGATTCTTTCAACCAAACTGTACTATAAGTACAGTTTGCAATTAAAAAATATTTAACAATATTTAAAGACACTGATTCTCAGGACAGACTGGTGATCTCTACAAGACATATGACAGACTAGGGAAAAGAACTAGAATGGAAGGCCTCAGAAAGCCAGGTCCTGTTTATTCCTATCATTGTTCTATGTAATCCAGTTGGAAATGGCCAAACCTATATGACTGGTTCACATTATTCCATTTATACTGTAGTGGTTCTCAACCTTCTGGCCCTTTAAATACAGTTTCTCATGTTGTGACCCAACCATAAAATTATTTTCGTTGCTACTTCATAACTGTAATGTTGCTACTGTTATGAATCGTAATGTAAATATCTGATATGCAGGATGGTCTTAGGTGACCCCTGTGAAAGGGTCGTTTGACCGCCAAAGGGGTCGGGACCCACAGGTTGAGAACCGCTGTGCTAGAGGCTCAGGCCTCTGTGCCCTCGGGTAGTTGCACGGGTCTGGGGGAGAGGTCAGTGCCAGCCACTCACCCGCATGCCTGGGCCCAGTGAGGGTTCTGACTGCGCTAACGAGGATTGTGATCTCAGGCAAGTTACGTCGCTTCTCGCCTCAGATGGGATGGACCTATTCATTGGGGATCATTTCATCTGCCTCATGGGGTGGACCAAAGTAAGGCAGGTAAAGGGCTTGATTCATGTTCAGCAAGGACTCAGGGACACCTGCTGTGTTCCGTACGCTCCGCTGGGCACTGTCACGCGGCATGTGCTCCCGGTGTCATTGTTCGATATCATACTTGTAATGATGATCAAGTGGTTCACATGTTTTGATCCTGTAGCTTGGTATGAGTCTCTGACCTGGCGTCTACATTGGCTCTGAGCCAACAGAGTGCTTTCTTTGCCCTCTCCCATCGTTCACGGGAATTATCAGGTTCACGGGACCCGGACATGGTTTAGTCTACCCTTTAGCAGGTGCACTGAGGCTCCTGTGCTTGTGGGACAGACAAGCAGGCCCCCGCTCCCCAGAGA